GTTAAATTCCATAGCATTTTAATTTGAGCTTCTATTGGATTGAGTTATATTGCATAGGTTTTTAGAATTTGGCACAAAAATTGGATCATTGTCTTTTGAGTATTTAGGTTTTTTTTTTTTATTAACTAGGACTAGGTGTTAGTTGAATCTAGGATTAGTTCGGTTTTGTTTTCTTAAAGAAAAAGAAAAAAAAGGTAGAAATAGAAATTTTCCAGAAAATCTGAAGTTCTACTGGTAGAATGTGTATGTTCTATTGGTAGGTGATGAAATAGAGAGTCGTTCTACCGGTAGATTGTACATCACCTACCGATAGGTTTTGAGTCTAAGGCGTTAAATAAAGGTTTTTTTTCCCGAGAATTCCATAGGTTTTCTTTAAATCTAACTTTTCCTTTTCACTATAAAAGCTCCTCTTTCTCTCTAGTAATTTTAGAACCTTCTTGTAAGACTTGGGCATCAATTGATTCTTGTTATTATAGCGATTTGTTGTAGTAATTTCAAATTAATGGCTCATATGAAAATTCTATCTCAAACTAATTTTTTTTACAAAAGCTATGGGTCTACCCTATTAGCTTGGGTCCTTGTTGTTGCCATAGTTTCTATGGTCATGGCAAAGATGGCAAGAACAAGGTCGAGTCAAGTAACCTCGAACAACACCTTTGGAGCTACCCCATCAAGGAAGGTGTTTGCTAGGGAGAAGGGCAAGAGGAAGAGGACAAAGTCAGATGATGACTATGCTCAAGAAGACCTAATCTTTGAATCCTTGGGCTACAAGTCATCTAGCTTGGCTTCTTTTTGCCTCCGTACACTCAATGGTGATGGAAAGAATGAAAGAAATAATGGATATTAGTACTAAAGCTACTACTTCTAAAGGGGAAGATTTGGATGCGGGGAAGACTTTTGAGACCCAAGTAGTTATCTCTAATTTTGAGAAAGAGAATGATGTTTCTGGGTTGGATGGAGACAAAGCTTAATTTGGGGGATGCTCTTATTTCTAAATCAAAGTGTTAGAATGTAGAAGTTGCACTTTTTCTTTTCATTATAGTTAGTATATAGGGTCTAACAGAACCTTACGAGTTTTCTTTGGAATAGTTGTCTCATTAAAGCTATGTAGAAAAACCTTTAGGAGTTAGGTTTTATTTCCTTTTGGAGTTAGTTTGTACTTAAAAGACTGAAGAATATGAATGAATAAATCTTTTGGATCTTAAAGTGCCCTGAGTTCATTTAAATTTATGCTTTATAGTTCAACTGTCTGATTGTGCTTGTTGATTGTTGCTTTGGATGTTTAAGAATCTTTGTTGTTTTGTTCCATAGTTTGATGTTTGTTAGGAACTAGAAAAGTTTAAGTTGGAGGGTGTGTTGAGTTTCATTCTTGCATTATTTCATAGCTAACATATTCACTTTAGGCTTACTAGGAGACTAACTGCCTTTGCTTAGCATGTTTTGTGATTAATGAGTTGATTTCGTGTTTGTAGGTAGTCTAGGTGTAAAGGTAGATGAGAAGCATTAGAATACTAGTTTTGGACAAGTTGGAGTTGAAGTTGATACGTTAGAAGGGAAGTCAGAGGCCTTAGAGAAGAAATTCATAGAAAGATAGGTTCTACCTATAGTAAACCTACCAGTAGGAGTGTGATAAAATGAAGAATCTACCAGTAGAAGTTGGATTCTACCGGTAGGAATGAAGATAGTGTGTAAGCTACCGGTAGGTTAAGTTATGTTCTACCGATAGAAAGGCTCTTTGGAATGAACAATAAGGTATTCTAACTATAGCAGAGCTCTCTGGAATGTATTCTATTGGTAGTTGACTTGGTATGCTATCAGTAGAAGAAGTTACAAGGATTTGAAGATCAAAGTTTTACCTGTAGTTGAGCAATGTTCTATTGGTAGGTCGTGCAACAAAATGAGGTTCATCTGGTATGTATCAATGTTCTACCGGTGGGTCGACATCAGATTTGATGGGAAACTCTAATTTGAGTCTGATTTTGCCATATCTTTTGGGGTTTCTCTACCAATAAGAAGAAGACATGTTTTAGGAGAAGATATGCACAAAAATACTAAAGATATTCCTTCCATTCACCATAAATCGGAGGCTTTGGCTGAGGAATGGAGATGACTCAATTGCTTATTTCTCTTATTCTCTGCAACTTTTCTTAGTTCTTTTCCTTGGCAACTTTTCTTTAGTTATTTCTTTGTGTTTAGTTTCCAGTATTAGTATTCTCAATTCCTAGTCAATTTCATTTAGTGTAGTCCATTTCAACACAACTTTTTCAATACAAGGTATTTATTCAAGTTCTTATTGCTTTCCGATCAATCTTTATTTCTTCGAATTCAATTACGGCTTTCTTAATGCTTTGCTTTAATTTCATTGTCACGAGTGAGTAGTTTATTTTTTGGATAATCGGAGAAGGAAATCCCAATCTATGAACTAGGGTTTACACTCTAAACTAGGGTTTTATGATTTATGTGATTTAATGAATAAATAATTGTTTTTGAAAACCAAATTGATTAGTCATATCCTTTATTATTAGTATATAACTGATTTTGATACGATAACACTTGGAGTTCCCACAATCAATTGGACTCGCATTTTTCCAATCAATCTATTTGTCATCAAAATCACTACTTTTACTAATTAATGCTTTTGGTTGAATATCATCCATCTGGGGGAGTTTGATTACAAACTTGGATGAGTTATAAATTTATAGTGTAAATTTATGTTCGTAAGTGGGATGAAATTCGAAGATTATCTTGTTCTTTTCCTTAATTGAACTTCTTCTTTATTCATTTAATTACCCAAAACTTATCAAATTCAAAGAGCTTTTTTTTTTATTTTCTTCCATCATCCTTGATTACAACCGATTTCCCTAAGGAGACGACCTTAAAATTATGTTACAAGTTACTACACGATAACTGCTCTTACGCTTGAAAGCTACATAAAAATCTAGCAATTTGAGTGCAAACGCTCCCTCTAGAAGACTAAAAGACCGACCAAGGTTCCCCAAAAATTGGGAGACATACTAAGGGGTAGATGTTGAAGAATCGGAGGATAGACTTAAGAAAGGGGTGCATAGGAAACCTAACCAATGGACCTTTAGTCCAATGATACTCTTTGTCTTATAAAAGTTTTATCTTATTGAGGTCAAAAATTCAAGTCCTCTCCCCTTTCCCCTTCCCCATCCCCTCCCAAAAAAAAAAAAAGAAACCTAAGACTTGACTCAAAGGCCAAAACGAAGAAGAAAGTCTTTCCAATCCAATACACATTGAAGATGTCCACATTCGAAGGAGGATAGACCTCAACTCCATCGGGAAACTAGTAGCAACTGACCAAGGACTGAAGCCTGTGCTCGGTCACGCAACTCTGGATTAAGGTTGTAGTTAGTCCCTGCAACTCTCCATATCTACCCAGGTACTGACCTCACTTAAGGAGGCAATTTAGGTGGATTTGGTAACCCTTTTCGTAGGAGCCCTCTTTCTATTATCTTGGTCAAAAGGTTCATCCTCTAGCATACTCTCGAGGAGGAAAGGAGGATCCATAGGAGGAACCTCCTGTTGAAAAGCATTCTCCTCGTGGGGTACCACCGACAAAGGATACTCATCCTTTGTCAGGTCTATCACCCTTCTTTGAGGGGAAGACTCGACCTAAAGATCCTCATTTCCATCCTCGAATATCAGAGGGATGGAAGAACTAGTAACTGAACAAAGACCCAAACATATCTGAGGTAGGGGGTATGAACTAGTCTACCTTTGAAGGAATCTGAGGGACACTCAAGGAGCATCCTCAATCAAGCAAGGGTCTATGCACCAACGACACAACAGGAAAACCCTAGTTGAGGCCCAAGGGTCCAAGACGTGAGGAAGAGCTACTAGATACCAACCTAAACCTCCATAGTAGCAGAAACAAAACACTGAAAAGTGAAGACCCTAAGACCACCACCAAGAATAATATCAAAAATATGTAGAAGGATATCTCCACATCTCGCCAGCAGTAAGACTCAATTAGAGTTTTTCAAACTCCTGAGTTGGTGAACTACTATAATTTGTGTTTTCTTTCATTCTCTAGCTCTTAACTATGTTCTGTTCTATGTTTCCTGCAGCATTTTAGAGGGCCTCCAGGCTCAGCCACGCATCGATCTCTCCCTTAAGCCTTGAACTTCTCAAGTCAAGCAATTGTCTAACACTTTTAAGTTTTACCATCATCAGTAATATTTCATAGGCAGATACACGTTCATGAATGGACACGCATTCATATGAAATAAAAAGTGTAAAAAAAATCCCCTCATAAAAGCTAACTTCTTATTAAAAAGCACATATTCATAACAATACTTTGAGAGCTACAATCAAACAACATACAACTATTCAAAAATGAAATTTTTAGAAATTTTATACTATTAGTGGTAACAAATATTTTTCTCCACTAAACCATTTTATCACCAGAAAATTAATTATGAATTATTGGTTTTTTTGTCATGAAACTTAATAAAAATTGTCATGACATATGTTGCGCCCCATGCTGTTTGGATAAAAGTTGCGCCCCATGCTGTTTGGTTTCACTCTTTGCAACTTGAGTTTACCTATTTAGTGTTTATTTTAGTTATTTTATAAGTAGTCCCTCTTATTGCTCCCCTTTCCCATTAAGCCCAAGTTAATAGTTGTTTATTTTTATACACAGCTAATTGTAATAGGCCATCACCGCCTGTGTAGCGAGAGAGAGAGAGAGGGAGTTATTTTATATAGTTATTTTATATAAAGGCAAATATTTATATTTGTAATTGTCTTCAACAATAGTTTTGGTACACGGATCATCATCCTTAATAATAATAAAAAATAAAAATAAAGTGTGTAATTCCTGCAAACAATGTTTATTTCTTTAATACTCCAAAGACTTTCAAAAAAAACTAGAGTTATACATAGACATCAAAATCATACCTTCTACCTATGTCTAGTGAACATTATTGTTGCCAAGGTTGAGATGGCTAGCCCATGTAGTTTCATAAAATTGTGATTTAACATTTGTGAGGCATAAGCCGTATTGGTAATCCATTCACTGGAACTGGAGACGGATCAAATTTGACCTTCTCATCTGGAAGTAATTTCTCCCACTTGAATCTTGTGACCAAGTTGTGTATGAAGCTTAGTATTACTAGGCGCGCAAACTCAGCCCCTGGGCACATACGAGGACCTCCACCAAATGGTACAAAGCTGAATGGCATAGGTCCACTTCCTTCAAACCTCGCAGGGTCAAACTTCTTTGGATCTGGGAAATATTTTGGATTTTGGTGTGTTGAAAATACGCTCCAATGTGCCTACAAATAAAAGTTGTGTGGTTAGAAATAAAACTAGCACAATATGTGAACAAAAATAGAATCATGCATGAGTTGAGCATGAGCTTCTTGTTATTACGAAATCTGTTTAGGGTTGAAGTATGTTGGGTTATGGAACAAGAAAATACCTTCCATCCGGTAGGAATGGTAAAGCCTTCGTAAGTGAAGTCACTTATAACATGTTTAAAGGCTCCTGGAGCAGGTGGTGACAGCCGCAGTACCTCATTGACAACATTTCGAGAATACCTCATCTTTTGGATATCTT